TAATTTATTTCTTATTATTAATAACATCTTTTATGTTCGTATTCAGATTATTCCCATCCAAGTTGTTTCCTTGAGTATGCTCTATATCTGTTTTGGGCTATATATCTTTACCGTTTCTAGTCTCTTTCAGTTTGATATCTCTCCTAGAGAACATCTCGAACGAATTAAACAGAGCATAAAGTAAGATTATCTTCGGTTTACTAGAATATTTAGTTTGTCCACTGAGCTTTTGTGTGTCAATATTCTTTATTTGTTTTTTGCTGTGAGGTCAGGAAGAAGTTTATATACCGCTAAAAGGGGTAAATATGATTAAAATTGATGGAATCCATCTAGATTAATTATATTATTAATCAAGAGCGGATGTATTGATATTTAAATTACCTTGAAGACGGCCTGTATCCATGTTCGACCTTGAAAGAAACCAAGTTGTCTTATTTAGAATGGGTGGAAGACTTTGGTGACTCATTTTGTCAATTCAAACTCATTTAAGTGGTTACGAAGAGAGGTTGTGGTAAAATTGCATTACTGAACATACTATTCATCTTCTTGGTGCCATCAAGGAATCTCTTCATGAAAAAAAAATGCATTAATGAACATCTTTGGAAGGGCCATGGTCCAGTAAACTTAAGTGACCAAAGAAGAAAAGAATCAGACTTACTCATCTTGCTTTGTTCTTTTTGAAGTTTTCCTAACTCCCCCTGTAATTATTTTCAGCCGGGCTACTCGCTTCGGACTTTCACTGGGCATTCTGCTGGTGTAATGTCACTTGACTTCCATCCCAATAAAGAAGATCTGATCTGTTCTTGTGATGGTGATGGTGAGATAAGATATTGGAGTATTAACAATGGTAGCTGCACAAGAGTGTTCAAGGTAAAATTGTTCATCTACTATTATATCAATATGCACATTGGAACAGGGGATTGGGGACACTGATGCTCAATTATATGATCTTCCATCTCTTCTTAATGTTATTTCATGTCTCGAGTAGGGTGGGACGGCTCAGGTGAGATTTCAGCCCCGCATCGGTAGGTATCTTGCTGCGGCTGCCGAGAATGTTGTATCGATACTTGATGTGGAGACACAAGCTTGTCGGCATTCGTTAAAGGTTGGTGTTCCTTAATGACAAGCCCGTACAACTTAAGTTGCTAACTTCGTTTTATTTTAGTGTTTCTCTAATTTCTTTTGGAAGTTGAAAGATGCTAATCCATCTCAACAACTTGGAAAAATAACAAAGATATTTAGAAGAAAAATGAGAGATTTAATCATTTATTTTTTCCTTATCCAACCTTCAAATATATGAATAGGATCATGTCGAACAAATTTCCATGTAGGCTAAGAACATGAGTTTTGGCAAAAAGCTTGATTGACAATTGTAAGGTTCTTTTAGTGACGTGAAACTTCTGTTTCATTAGTTACGATTGCTTTATATATAGCTTTTATTACATTTGCAAAGTTTAGGATTTTCACATGGTTAATGAGAACTGGCACCTGCTACCTACCCGTAATAAAGTATGACCTGACATAGAAAGTCTTAGGAGAGATAAATGATAACTTCTCTAGTTGCTTTTCTCCAAGGCTGCTTACATGCACTAATAACTTTTATCATATGTTTCAATATAGCTCTGCTTGTGTTTCCAGACTATGGTGTGGCTAACATATTGCTATTGTTTCTGAAGGGTCACACAAAACCAATTCATTCTGTCTGCTGGGATCCCTCAGGCGAGCTCCTAGCATCGGTTAGTGAAGACTCTGTCAGGGTTTGGACATTGAGATCGGGTAGTGAAGGGGACTGTCTACATGAGCTTAGTTCAAATGGCAACAAATTCCACTCATGTGTTTTCCACCCTACGTATTCATCATTGCTTGTAATCGGCTGTTACCAGGCAAGTCATGTCTACATTATTGTGCAAAACTTCCACGTTTTCCCCCAAGATATAGTGGATATAGAGAATATGCTAAACAGCTTATTTTGTTAAATATATTTTTCTCCATTTTAAAAAAAATAAAAAAATCCTAGAGACTAGTCTCGCTAAACACTGAATATTCGAAATTAACCATGTAATGTGGTTGTACGATTTAAGGAGGTCCCGGAAAACAACCTATTTCTCATTGCACCTTCACTATGTCAATATCTTCTTTTTTCCTTCTCATGACTGAATATCGAAAGACTTTGTGATGTGAATATCTTCACTTCCATGTTTCTAACTTTTTCTTTCTTAAGCCTTCAATTTCTTTAATTTTGTTCGTAGTCTAACAAAAACTTTCTAATACTCAGTTGACTCCACATACCCAAATTCCCAGATGTTGTGACCCCCCCTTAAAGGATAAGTAATTGAGGTGCTTTTCTTTATTACTGTGCTGTTGGGGCCATCTTGCATGCACTCTAACTATTCCACCGATTACCTACCATCTTCTACTAGTAAAAGTACTGATGAGTCTGTCCACCAAGGCTTGGACAGAGAGGAAGAAATCACTCAGCTCTTTGTCTATGTTAGAATTGAAACACAAATTGTAATGCATGTAGTGCATTTTGCAGTCATTGGAGCTATGGAACATGAATGAGAACAAGACAATGACCCTCACAGCACATGAAGGATTAATTGCTTCCTTGGCTGTGTCGACAGTTGCAGGTTTAGTTGCTTCAGCCAGTCATGACAAGTTTGTTAAGCTTTGGAAGTAAGATATGTACCATCATTCATGCTTCCTTCTCAAGCCTAGTTGTATGTCCACTGTAAAATCTTTTACTGGTTTTCGAAGAGATGTCTTGTGTCTGTTATTTAGCATTAGCTTTTGTATTCTGTTATTTTTCCGTTTGTGCCTGAAAGAACCGTGTACTAACCCCATCCCCTGCTCATCTTGACTGCTGGTACCTAACTTTATCTTATGAAAACCTAAAAGAAGAAAATTTGTTGTCATCTTTCTGCTTATGTTTTTTCCTCCAAAGTGGTTATATCAATTGGAATAATCAGGTGTAGTTGGTTCAGTGAGTGTACATATCAGTTTTTCCAAATTTTACAAGGGTGTTTAGTCTTTAAGTTTCTCCATCTATGTCCCTTTAAAGTGTTGACATAATGCATATTTGGGTATTTACTGAGAAGCAAAAAACAGTGTTAGGGATGGTGTTCAAGTGTGGTTATCACTAGGGGTGGCAAACGGGTAATGCAAAATTGGATAAATTATCTGACCCGACTTATATTTAATACAGATAAAAAATCGGTTAACCGGCGGATAATATGGATATTTATATTATCCATCGTTTTTAGAATATGATCACACTTTTGGGATTTTAGTCTTCCAAACTTGAGGAACTTCAATTTGAGTCTTTACAAATGTAAAAGTAAAATTCATTAATTATTCATTAGTTATTCAATTTTTAATTGGATAATATAGTTTTTATCCATATTTGACCCGTTTTTAAATTTTTTATATCAAACTCATTCTTTAGTGAATAATAAGGATAGGTAGCTGTTTTTTAATCCATTTTGTAGTTACCATAATAATAATCATAATAATAATAATACAAACATGAGTGTTGATTTAGCTGAAGCTCTCAAGAAATGGAAGGGGAAGATCTTCCAACCTGATGGTTAATACTAAGTAGTATCTACATGAAAAAAGGTACTATATACTTTTAAAAAGCTTGTTCAGTTCAGAATGGGTTTGATCAAAAGAAGAAATCCTAGCGTACTTACACAATTTTAAGTGCATAAATAGCTTAAAATGAGCTGAAATTGTCTATTTTTACTTTCAACTCTCTCAAAATAGAATCTATTCCAAACATATATGCCATGGTTCCTTATTTTGACAGGATACGAATATTTAAATTTTGATATTTTTAGATACTTTTTCAGATTTATTGCCAATAGTAGGTAGTAGTTAAAATTTTTAATGATATTATGTATGGATCATGTATATAATGGCGAATTCTTCGGAAAAAATTGTGTCTTCCAGAATGGAATTTGATAAGTGGAATCTCAAGTAAGTGTTCACATAATCTTCCTCTGTGCGAAGAAATTTTTGATTTCTCTCGTGAAATGTGAACCCTGTCGTGGGACTCATCACACTCCATCTTCTATGCAAAATCAGCCACCATAAATACACAAAACACTCTCAACACGTCCATTAAAAGAGCTTTAGCCATAAACCAATTTCCCATAGCACGCTCTAAGAGACAAGATTCTCAAAAATGTGTTCGATCAAGGAGGAGGTTTGGAAGTAAGATATGTACCATTGATTGGATATAACATTACAAATATAAAACTGCATTCAAAGAAGATGGTATAGCCTCTCTACCTTACTAGGTAGGGGTAAGATTTGCGTACACACTAGCTTTCCTAGATCCCACTTGTGAGATTAGACTGAGCCGGTTGTTGTTACTCAACTCTTTCTCATGTTTTGATGCATTATTAATACATTGGATGGGCGTATAACCGTCTTTTTTTAAAACTATAAACTCAAAATCCTAGTTCCGCCTCTGCATGTGAAGAGTAACTTAGTGTGTGCCTATAATATCTATATTATGAATTGTGAGGTATAGTCCGCTTTAGCCTATTGAAATTCACAATTTTTGTCTTCTAAAAGGCGTTTCCCCCTCAAACAGGAGAGTCACATGTCTCTTTTGCACTTTTCATTTTCACACAGAGATGTCAAACAACCAGTATGCTGGATTTGAATATTCGTTGTCTTCTTGAGCCGAGAGTATTTCGGAAACAACCTCTACTCTTTTGGGGTAGAGGTAAGGTCTGCGTACACACTACCCTCCTCAGACCCCATTAATGAGATTTTACTGGGTCGTTGTTGTTTTGGTTGTTTTCTTTTTCTTTTTATTCCTAATTGTTTTCTTCTGATTTAGCACAATTTGTTCGAGTAATATGTTAACACTAGGGAACTTTACCGCGCTTCGCGTCGATCAATAAAATATGCTACAATTTTGTAGTCATATTCCCACGTTGGATATTAAATATGGTGAAAATGAAAAACGAAGTCTATCAATTTCAACGTCGAATAAATGGGAGGTAAATAATATTTATTTGTAATAATGTAAGCTTAAATTTTGTAAATGCAATAACATAATATTCGAATATACAGATAGTCATTCTTTGCATGATTTATTTGGTAATACTCCTTTATATAATTCGTGTCTAAGTTGTACTTGTTCATACTTCAAATATTCTATCCGCATTTGTGTGATTCTTGTATACATCTCATCCATGGAAGTTTCCGGTTGTTTTACATCTGTAAAAAAAGACGAATTGTAGTTTTAATATAGCTAAGAATAGTAAAGAAATAAAATTATTTAATTTAGCATCAATAATTTACCTTGACAATTATTCAAGGAAGTTCGATGACGTTGATCTATAATCTGTTTATCCATTGTAGAAATCCTGTATAATGTAAGACAAATTTTATTGTGCAGATATAACCATACGTTGAATTATATTATTAATGTATATTTAATTTAGATCTCTATAAGAATGTATTATTTTATATGCTTAAATCTTTATGCTACTTTAGCGACAAAATCTATTTGTGCAAAGGAATGTGATTTGTGTAGAACAATAGAAGAATAATGTATAGTTTAGGAATAAACCTGATGTTTAAAAACTACTCCTCTTCATGATGTTGTTATGTTTTGTGTTATTTTGATTCACCCCCTCATCTTCCTTGTATGTTGTCTTTCTTGTATTTATAGGGGTAAATTGAATGGTTTGTCTGAATGGCTCGAGATCTTTGAAAAAAAGATGATTATCAAAAATTTGAATGAGAATAGGAGGATGATTAGTGATTTATCCTTTTTTAATAGGAAATTGCCGTTAGTGATTTGGCGGATTAATGAGAAGGTAAAGAGAAAAATGAGAGAATAGGTGTATAAAAAGAAAAACAATAAATAAGAAAGATAACATACATTAAAGCGAAATCTTTTTTGGAATCTCACCAGTGTAAAATTCATAAAAACGGGACAATATTTATCAATCAGTCATTGTTTTTAAAACTTATTTAATGTTATAATTGTTGTACTGTATTTATATTATAGATAGCAGTAAAGTATTAGGACCAACATAAGAAAAGTTACTTTTGTAACTAAAGTACCTCAGCCAAAACGCAACTGTAAAAGTTGCCCTTACAGTTGCCCTAAAGATCAATTCATACTACCTGTAGACCAATTCAACAATTATCGAGATGGAGAACTCCATTTCACAAGGCTTAATATTGTATACAAATGCTTATTATACCTATAAAAATAAACATATATAACTGCATCTTATATTCGTATTATGTTAACACAGGCATAAATAATCATTTTTCTTTTATGTTTTTGACATTTTTTAATTAAACTGAGAGATCAATAAAGAAGTAGGGCCTATAAAAATAGTAAAAATTGAACTTAGACATTTTATGTGGCGTTGTTCTCTACTTTTGACTTCACTTATACTAAAACAGATGATTTTGTTTACTAAGGTTATAGTAAATGAATGTGCACTTTAAACCAAAAGGCTACCTACATAAGATAATCAACATCATATTTCTAACGTACAAACCCCTTACACAGTTCTGTCTTTCTATATTGATTAACAGTGGAAATAACATTAAACCTGCTTCATTATGTTGTCTCTAAATGTATGGAATCTTTTCTAATATACAACTTAATCCATTAAGTAAATTGGAATATATTACTGGACATCTCATTTGCTATCATCACTATTTTCTTCGTTAATTAAATCTAAATCGAATTAATAATTACAGTTGATTTATTAAAAAGTTTGACTGAGTTGTTCGTGCTGTCCATTTTGTACATAATATTTTAAGTATAATAGTAGAATATATTGTGTGGTAATCAGACTTGTCCATGTTTTCCACTATTGCAGAGCAACCGTTAGATGTGAAGACTGCACGTCAGTAATCAAAACAATAACAGCACAAATAGTTAGAACTGAGGCAAGAGGAATGACGGGTGAGTGCAAAAGGAATTATTTGAGATAACCAAGGAAATGGAAGAGTTATGAACACCTAAGCAAGGAGCATAACCAACAGATCTTACCATTTCAATTTGTGCAGTCAATTTTACTGTAGAATCTGTTGTTAATTTTTTTTTAAACCTGTTTTCCATCAGTACCAATTGCATCATCCTAAAAGAATATAATGAACAATAAAAAAAATCAACAAATTGAAATGTAAAAAGATAGACAGTTTCATTATTTTAACTAAACTACCATCAATATGTTTTGCCTTAGTTGAGGAGAGTAAGATGATAGCATCCTAGGAAGCTCAAATCTATTCAAGGACAAGAATGAAGCTTTGGAATCTCAAA